TACAGATTTTTTAAATTTAATCTGTTTTGCCATCGGATTGGATATTTTCAAAAAGTTCTTTAAGAAACTATTTTTATTCATAAAAAACTCCATTTTTGGAGGTATTCTAAAATCGGCCCAGCTCACGTAAATCTTAATATTTTTCCGAAATATTTTGGTGGACGTCTTCAAATATAATAGATTTTGTAGTCCCGGCGGAAAAACCGCAAATTTTTGGGTGATGCAATCTAATGTACCTACGTTGGAGTTGCAGTTGTAGCTATTTTTGTTGATGTTGATGTGGTTAACGTTGCAGTAGAGGAGCTTCAGTTGGGAGTTGATTGAGAATGTGCGACTGCTTGCTTGTTCTTTGCTGTTTTCTGCACACCTTTAATGAGCATAAATTAACATTTTTATTGAGAAAGTCGACGGGACTCTGTTTTGTGTGGAAATTGCAAGAAGCAGAAAAAAAAGACACATCGAATAATGTATGACGAAAAGTACAAACACATGCTGCTAATGCATATGCATGGGAAGTAAGGCGTTGCACAAGCGCTCATTATTGGTGAATACAAAACACTCTAAAGCATTTTAATGAGTTGATTGTGAGCGTTTTTAATTATCGCTTTTGTTTAGCTGCATATGATGTTTACTTTTCACCTTTAAGCTTCCGTTAGATTTGATGGAAAACCTGGTATAGGGCCTTAGATAAACACTTTCAAAGGTAAGATAAGATAAGAGGAAAAATTTCCAATTAGCAAAGCAAGAAAGACTTGTAAACTCTTTTGTAGATACGTATGTAGCTCAGTAATTTAAATGATTGCGATTTCACAAGATTATTTTGTGTAAAAAATCTACATTTAAACCTGTTTTGGACATGTCACACATAGCCAAAATTATTTTTATGAATATTTCAATTCGAAATTGTACGAAAGAATTGTAAATTAAAAAAGAAAAAATTAAGTAAATTGAAGGGAGGAGAAGGTTTATATATAGTTTATAGAGTTGCCACCTGTTAAAAATTTTTGAATTGCTGCAATATGGGTATCAATGGAAACGGGTTTGAAAAGGCTGTATCTCTAAGCAACTTCCCAGGGTTGCTACCGGTTTAAAAAATCAAATTCAACTTTAATTTAGGGAATTAGATAACTAAAATATGTATCACAGTATAGGTAAGAAAATGTAATAAAATTCAATTTATGTAATAATTACAGTAATATAACAGTCTTATTGTTATTGTTAAGAGAATATTGTAAGGATTAACTTTAACTAAGGATTAACTTTGAGTACATTAGCGTCCTCTATTACTGAAATATCGGAGTTTTCGTATTTTCAACGTATTGCTTTTCCATACCAAGGTTATTAAATGCACCGAGTTTGGTACAAATTGATAAATTGGTTACCGAGATGTATGTATATTTTTGGTCATAAGTAGGCGGCGTTACGCCCGTTATAAAAAAAAAATTTCTAATAATCTAATTTAATGCTAAGAGGTTATATCAAAAATCGATTTTGAGTGAATTATCTGCAGTAGTTACTGATTTATTGCAGTTTTCGTGTTTCTGTAAATTATCGTTAGGGGATTTTTAGGAGACATGTATGTTAGATATAGCCTAAGCAAGGCTCATGCCGAGTCTGGTACAGATTGGTGAAGCGGATACTGAGATACAGCATTTCATCATAAGTGGGCGGGACCATTTTCCAAAAAGTTCATAATATAATCCTATTTTGTTCCAAAATTTAACTTCACATACCAATTTTCAACAATTTGGATACAATATTTACTGAAATATCGTAATTTGAAATACATTTTTAGACAGGCGGCAACCCTGTTACAAGACCTCAAAAATTCACTTAACTTTTAAACTAAAGACTTCTGAAAATTCCTTCGTTTGACATACATATTTTTATATTTCATATAACTTGTGCATAAATAAACTAAATTCGACATTTCTAGCAAACTTTTCAAACTGCTACCATCTGAGCCGCCTTTCGTTTGGCACCCATATGTTGAAACATTTTTTTCCTAATTAATTTCCTTAATTAAAATTTAATTTGATTTTTTAAAGAGATGGCAACCCTTTAAAGTCAAGTTAGGAAGGAAATATTTTCAAAACCATTGCCATTGATACCCATTTTGTAATATTTGATTTTTTTTTAGATAATTTGAATATAATTGTTTAAAAGATGGCAACTTTTTCAAAAAGGTAAAACCTAATTGCATATCTGCAGTCTAAGCCTTTTAATTTGACACCTCATTTAGGAAAATCGAGCGAACGGTGCAGATCTTTTATGCTGCACAAAAAAAGCCTTCGCATATTATATATATAGATTTCCATACTAAAAACACTGCTTACAACACTTTAAGTCTCCTATTCAAAATAATTACAATTTCAAATTTTCATAACATCCCTTTCGAGTAATTCATATACTCCTTACAAGCGCTTACCACTTGCTCTCTAAGCATTCACTACTACATCACTTTCTTTACAACCGCGCTTACATCGCAGCCTATTTACTATGTACGTTATCTCAGCACTTAACAAAATAAAAATTTCACTATCTCTTTATAAACGC